CATTGTATGCATGATAATTTCCAGAATCGAACTGTGGACGTGGTACATTCCCAGACGTTTCGCCGGCATCGTAGTCGGCATCGTCAGTGTCTTGCCAGTCTTAGCACCACACTACAAATCGTCCGAGACAAATTAAGCCGATCCCCCTTCACTCTTGTGCTGGGAATGTTGATCAAAGTCTGCCATACTTTTATACCGTCCTCCTTCCATAGATATTATCACTCTCCTTCTTGCCACGTAGGATTCGCCTGCTATCTCCATGGTTCAAGTATTTCACTCGACCCCTGCCAAACTATCTCTGCTACTCGAGGCGTTATTTCTCACACTCTGCGTCTGGAAGACAAACTAGAGGCTAAAGCCCCTGAGTAAATCTCATTGTCAAGCCCTTGCTACATGGACCATGTCTATGGTAAAACAGGCCTACCGTCAAGCAACATAAACGAGGTCCATCAGCAAAGGCTTGGCCAGCAAATGCCTTGAAGACAATGCATGAAAGCTGCAAGAAAGGGTCGAATATAGACACGTTAGAAGTTGTGAAGATGAAGGGAGCGAAACGAGGATATGTGATGGGGATGAGAGATACCACAATTGTCAAGCAAAGGGTTGATCAAAAGATGGACTTCATTTGTCTCTTTTGACGATCAAGTTTGGCGGTAAGAATGGCAAGAATAACTGACAATGCCTGCGAGACGTCTAGGAATGTACCAAGTCTACGATCCAACGCTTGGAATTATTATAACTAAAATAGCAGAGGACTTCGAAAACGCGCGTCCGATTAGGTTGACCTGAAAACACGACCAATTGACGAAAACGAGGTCAAACCACTTCTATATAACTAAGGGAGACTGTTACAAAAACATAGGCCAGAATATCTTGGTTTTCACATCTATGATCAATCAGTTTTTACTCAACTATGTTAAAATGTACTGTTCTTATGTATGATCCTTATTTTTGCTTTCTATACTTAATATTTTTTCATTAATCCTAGTAATTATATAAAATTTAGAAATCGTCGTGAAATGTGATTTTGAGTAGTACAACATTTTAATGGACTAATTACTCGTACCAATCAAGGCCTACCTGAGTGTACGAAGAAGGACTGCGTTCCAAACAATCTCTTCGAGTTTCTATTTCGATATAAAAGTTGGTTGAATGGAATTTGTGAATTGGTTTCACCGGAAACCGAAAGAGGAGTATTATATTTGAGTAAAGACTGCTCTCTTGGCTCAGCAAATTATTGTGCTATTTCGTAAAGCATCGTTGCTTGTTCTCACGATGCATGCCACATGAGAGAGACAAACCAACATTCTTCGTTCACTGATAGTGCTCCTTCAGTTTCCGAAGTTGTCAATTTAAAAATGCTTCAAAACACTCTCTTATTCGAAATGAAAAGCTGAAGCACACATACTCGCAAGTTTAGCTTGACGAGTCAACTAAGCGCATACTCCCGCCTTCATAAACGGAAACCCAGTCTTCGCGTCTACAGCCATGTCCGGGTGGTAGGCACAACGAGCCATTACAAACAAACACACCGGTACAGCTATGCAGAAAAACTAGTTTTCGAAGAATTCTCTAATGGATTCTTGATGGTACCGCATGCGTCTGCAAGTTAGATTACGGGATGGCTGCGTCCGTCCGGCCAGCTCATGCAAGCCTCCTTTACTGGCTGACTCAGCGCAACTGTTATCCGCTGTATCGATGTTTTTACACAGTCCCACGAAACATTTAACCGTACATGCAGCTGTACCAAATTTGGTGCGCATAAAATTTCTCGTTTTTCCTCGTTTTGCAAAACTGAACCCGTCTAATCGGACTTTGAAGTTACGCCTAGCTGTCAGGCTAGTGAAGTCTTGTTTCTTCGCCTGCTCCGCTTCACTCGCGAGTCGTAACTGCATCCTGCCGTTGGCACATGCTTTCACATCCATCCCCAGCTCCGACTGTACACTTCAGGCCTCGTACTACCACTGCCTGAGCCTGCCTGCTTGCTTGGAGCGGATACCGAGAAGGAAAGATTAATCGTTGCCTCGACTGCAAAGGACCCAATAAGTCGCTGGCACTGTAGGCAGTAGCTCTTGGTGGGACATTTGGAAGATATATTTCGCTTTGAGTATGACTTTTCAAGACAACCAGTAAATCAGATAAATGTGATAAGGGACTGTTATGTGAATTCTCCAATATTCATATGAGTAGACATGGAGTTCTCAACTGAAAGCAAGGCTAAGCGAAATTGAATAGAAACGTCAACTCGTGGGGGGATTCAACTACTAGTTCTTCACCCCCTTAAACGGAATAGGACAAACGCATCTCATATATTTGGAGGGCATACCATAAGCATATGCAAGTAGGGTTTCGAGACTACCAGTAAATCAGTGTAATG